ACCATTGGGTGGTGAATTGATACATAACAAGGCAGATGTGGCCAAGACCCTTTGGGAACAAGCAATGGAATCAGTAGAGAAAAAAAATTATCATGGCCTGGAGAGAATGAGGCACCTGGGCATAACCAGAGGGTCTGGCTGGCTCACTACACTCAGAGGAAAGGCAAGACCGTCATTTAACCAGATTGTGACCGGTACCATCAGCACTGGAATTTAGCGCTAGCTACTTAAGATGAGGATAGAGCACACATGGGAATGCCCCAAGTGCTGTGATGCTAATTTAGCAGAATCACAGGCTAGTATAGACAGAGTTAAAAGAATTTGAAACATACAATTAATCGTGGCTAAAAAGAATAATAGTAATCAGATTTACCTAATTAAAATCAATGTAGATATCACATGGTATGCATTTGCCTAGGCTACCACATGACTCACAAAAGAATAAAAGGTGATTTTTGTCAGAGCAACACTGTTTTTTCAAAATTAAATTGGTAAAATCAACTTTTATTTTCTAAGATTGTTAAATATTCAGTTTTTCAAGGATAAAAATGTAGCAGTGGGTCTAAAAAATCTGTTTTTGAATTTAAAGAAAACAAAAATAATGTTGACAGATAAAACTGGCTGTCACCCAAAAATAACAATAAATGATGAAGAAATCGATAATGTCACAAACTTTGAATATCTAGGCTCTATAATAAATAGCAATGGAGACTGTTTGGCAGAAATTAAAAGGAGGATAACCATAGCAATGCAAAGATTGAATTGCCTTAAAAGTATATGGTTAAGCACCAGCAAGGAGATGAAAATTAGAATTCTGAGAACATGAATCTTCCCTGTTGCAACATACGGATGTGAGTCGTGGACTATCTCCCATTCCTTAAGAAAAAGAATAGGGGCTTTTTGAGCTGAAATGCTATATAAAGATTCTCAGAATATCTTAGACAAAGAAGAGGAGAAATACTCACATCTTGAAAGATCTGAACATCAAGAAAGATTGACTAATAAACAGCATCCTGTCTCGGAAGCTGAAATATTCTCGTTATATCAAGTGCCACGACGGATTGGAAAAAATTATAGCAGAAAGCATAATACCAGGAAGGAGGGGCAGTGACCGACCGACATGAAGATTGGTACAGGATATAAGTGACTCCTTGAGTATGAAAGTACATGAGGTGGGAGAGCTGGCAAGAGACTAAGTTTCTTTCAGGCAGACCGTGGTGAGAGCGACGTTCTGCAAAGGACCTGTTACACAATGATGATGTGTCTAAAAAAAATGTGCCAGATATGAATGGTTTACATTACTTACACAAAAAATGGAAGTTAATTATATGTACAGTATAATTTTTACATCTCTTCAGACTTGACAAATGCTGATAAATGCACTATTTATACCAACTATGTGCTTTAAATACCAGACACAGATAGACCTAGAAAAACTAAGGCAAAATTACAACATGAGAAATCTTCTTCTTCTTCTCTTTGGTGTTCACAGGCTGTAAACTCTGGTGAAAAGTTTTGGTTTTTTTGGTCCACTTGTGGCTTTTAGTCTTGTTCCAGTACTGTTTTTTTTATTCACATTAATTTTACAGATCTGGTTTATTAGTATGCAAACTGTTGATTCCTTGCCTCTCAGACTTCAAAGAAAACTCCTAATAAGTCAATTCTTACGATATACTTGTTAGTGTGGCAGTGGGATTATTCTTTCTTTCACCCACAATGTGGTCCTGGAACCTACACAGGGAAACATTTGAGTTGAGATGTATAAGAAATACGGTGGGAAACAGGAAGAAACAGTCACCAACAAAGAAATCGGCATAATCTTGGGCACAGTATCATTAAATAATATCATATAACCTCAGTGAATCAAATGGTTTGGTCATCCAGCTAGAACCAAAGAAAATCAGCCAGCAGCTAGAACAAACTACATAAGAACAGCAGGCTATGAGTTAAAAGGCCGACTAAGAAAGGTATTGATGGAGGGAGTAAAACAGACACTACAGAAACAGAATATAACATTAACACAAACTAAAGAATACAAAATCAGGAAACTACATGTAACTCCTTTCTGTGATGCTTTATGTCATAAGCAGTAGGGCAAAAAAAAGAAGAAGAAGATAAAGGAGCAACCATCATTGATTATTTAAAACATAGATTTTCATTTGGGGATCTACTGACTCCTGGGGGGGGAAAGGGGGGGGGGGTCTTCAGAACAATTTAATGAGATGCGTTACATCACGCAGAGAAAAACCTCAACACTTTTTTTTTGCATTTGGAAGGATTCATTTATTTGCTTTCTTTTTTAATTAATTGTTACTTTAGTAAGCACCTGGTGATATACAACAAAATATACTAGTCAAAATAATGTGCAGTCTATTGTTTGTGTCTTTGTTCATTCATTTATTATCCTGTTGTGCCCTTATGTGTCACATAGGGCTCGCAGTCTATTCCTCTATTCCGTTTTATCCTGTGTGATCAGTTCAATATCATGGATGGAATCCAATCCAGCAGCTTTGATCTTTCTCATCAACGTTCGCCTAAGGGTTTCCTGTGAAGATCCTCGCCTTCTTAATCTCTCTATACAGGCATTTTAGTGTCTGTTTGGTGATTCTCTGCTGGTTTCTTATCAGGATGTGTCCACTGTAGCGCCTTCTTATCTGCCTTATAACTGTTGATACTAGTGGTTGTCCAGACATTTCTCTTGTTTCCTAACTAATTGAGTCCCAGGAGGTTTAGCATCAGAGTCCCAAGGGGTGGTAATGCACTTTTTTAATTTCATAAGTGTAACACGTTAAAACAGACCATACTAATTCAACTGCTGCGCAGCATACGCATATTATACATCAAAGTGACCAGGGATTGTTGGGGAATAATAATAGAATACTGCTACAACAAATAATTGCACTAATAATTAAATATTAGTAAATAAACATATTGTATATTTACAGAAATTAGTAAAATGAAACAATATTTTTCCACTTATCACCATGGCACTCAAGGAAAACTCGTTAAAATATATCCAATATTTAAATTGAGCGGTGCACGTTTTATTACGGGTCAGTGGTAAATTAAAAACCTACACTTGTCACGTGTTGATTGGGCCGGTGGGTTGTAACCAATTAGCACGTGATACGTTCCGCGGGACTCAAAGAGTTAACTCCGTTTGAATTAATCCCATTTTGTTTTCACCATTTTTCGAAGACATTTGTTTTTGACTGCATTTTATTTTTGTTGCATATCTCAAGTAGCTCTCCAACTGTCACCTGCACATGTTAAAATTGATATAACATTAGAATTCAAATTATGTAACTTGGTTTTAAAGCTATGCAATTTAGAATTCAATTTTTTTTTCAATCTGTTAAAAGCTGCTGATGCCTTGCAAATGTGTGTTATAATTTCTTTATTTGTTTTTCCTTCTCTATCATAATTACTGCCTAAATAAGTAAATTGTGTTTTCATTGTTAAAACTTTTTTTTTTCAATTTTAAAACAGATTTACTGTAAAGAAAATTTTTTTTAATGTATAAAACGATTTGGTCCATGACATACCTACAAAAATAAGATGGCATCAAGGGGTCTTATCTAGCTGGGAACAAATGATTTAAACAATATCTTGAAATCTATTCTACATTTAATTTACACAGATAAAATGTCATGTATAGTTAAATACAGCAGATAAATACAGCAGACAAAATGTATTGTAAACTTTAAAAAAAGTTTAGTTGTGATTTTTTTTTTGGTCAATAGTAATTGAATTATTTGCTGAGCACTTTTAAAAACACAAGTGTTTCACATTTACAGTTTGGCATGATAACATCTGGCATAATAACCTGCCACAATAAACAAACGTTTGGCATGATAGCATGCCACAATAAACAAATATTTGGCATGATGACATGCCACAATAAACAAATGTTTGGCATAATAACATGCCACAATAAACAAATGTTTGGCATGATAACATGCCACAATAAACAAACATTGGGCATGATAACATTCAACAATAAACAAACGTTTGGCATAATAACATGCCACAATAAACAAATGTTCACTTAATCCATTTTCAAACATCACAAATTTTAAAAATAACCTCACACAGTTTAATGCTAAAAACAAAGAAATGATATAATTACAAGATAGCTTTAAGTATAAACCTTAAAAGTGTCAAATAAATTATAATAACCATGTCATTTTTTTTGTAACCTGACAGTACTGTTGTTAAGGATCTCAAGAGTGTTAAAGACATGTCATCATGTGGCAGATAAATACAGTGACACCATAATAAGATTTTTAAAAAGGCCAACCCATTTATGACATGCACCAAAGAAGAGCAGCATTCCTATATTCTTTTTTTTTTTCCTCAACAAATGAATGTCCATTGTGGTGATGCACACCTGTCAGTCAATCAAGTGTATGAGTGGAGCAGGTAATTGAAAATCTTCATGATTTCTGTGACAGTCTGTTCACGACTGTGTCGGGCACACTGAGTAGTGACTCCCAGTGTCAACAGCAGCTGCTGAAGGCCTCATACTGGAAAACTGCTGACTGACTTTGAATGACCCTGCCACACATATCAATATCTGTCAAGGTTCAACACAAAACATAATTCTTGATGTGCTACACTACCGCTGCCCCTCTATGGTGCATATCAAAAGTGGGGTGGCTATCTTTAAACTTTTTTGAGTTTTATGACATCACCATGTCTGTCTGCACCCTGATGTCACATGCTTAACCCTCTTGACATCCTTAACAACAATATGGACAAGTTACAAGACAACAGCTTGGTTAATTGAATTGTTGTCACACTTGTAAGGTTTCTGTTTGAAGCCAACTTGTATTACAGCTGCATATACAAATTAACACTTGTTAGAATAATGCCAAACATATGCATGGGAAGTTAGTGCTAAGAAGGTTCTTTCCAGCTCTGAATTATGTCATGTCTATGATATAACCAACAATGTTGAGGTATAAATAAATTACATCTCTCATGAGCCAGTTGGCACTTCAGTTTGAAAGCCTACTGATATTATAAAGGGTATCAGTTTGGTTTCCATTAGGGTTCAGTATATTCAGAGATTCAGTAACATTGCTTGTGTGGTTGTACACACCTATTCTAAATTCATCAGGCAAATTAAATAGATCATACACGGAAGCCACCCAGGAGTTCAATGCAATATTAAGGAGAATTATTGCAAATATATTAATTGGAAGACCTGCAAGAACCTGTGGAGAAAAATATACAGGAAGTTAATTTTTTTAAAGAATGTGTATCCCTATTATAGTCAGTGTCTATGGCTTAGGCGTTGCGAACACGCTTTATAATACCGGGGTGCTGGGTTCAATCCCAGCTGCAGGCCTTGCGCCTTGCACTAGTTTCAACAGTGGTATAGTAAAGCTGTCCGGAAAGCAATGGCAAACTACTGGACGTAATTTTGCCTATAAAAACCACAACAGACAAAAAATGATGGGGTTGGTTTTGCAACGTCCTGTAAAGGATACACAACTTTTATCCCTAATATGGTATATGAGGCAACCAACAAGTAATTAGTAGTTGTTTTTGTGTAAATAATATACCTTCCAATCCTTAGGGTTTTAAGTGAAATATACAGTCCCCATTGTATTTTCTGTGTATACTTGTGCTATCTTACATACACAAACATTTCAGTCATTTGTGTAAAGGTGGATTAGCACATGAGACAACAGTTCACATCCTCCAGGTAAAACGTATCAAGTCAAAACTATTGGCAATGAGAAACACCAGTGCAAGCCAAACTTTACAGGTTGCTGATTGAATTACAATAGAAGTCAAGTTCATACTAAAAACAACACTGTAGATATAGATAATCTATTTCAAGGAAATGAAAGGAGAAGAAGAAGAAGTCATTTGTGTGTGTCATATTGCTAAAATTCCAAGTATTATCACTTCCACATCTTCTGGGTTATGATTGGAATAGATACATTTTAATGGGTTTTCCCTGTATAGCCTATGCGGTGTGGCATTGACAATCATGTCTATCAACAACTTTACATCTAATGTACTTTTAGTCAGTTCTGGCACAAATGATTTCCTATGGTCCATGGTGTTGATATGTCTATCCACAACCTTATGTATTGTGTACTTTTAATCGGTTCTGACACAGAGGATCTTCCATAGTCCATGTGGCTCTAGTGGTCATGTCTATCCACAACCTTCTGTCCCGTGTACTTTTAACTAGTTCTGACATAGATGACTTTCCATGCCAGAAAGTCAAGCTGTCCAGCATCTTCTCTCTCTCTGTCTCTCTCTCTCTCTCTGCCTTTTTTATCAGTTCTCCTAATGTGTCAGTTTCTTTCAAGACATTTTCATTATTTTGTTCTATCTAGGATTTTCTTGTCCTTTTCTATAAATATTAGGATTATTTTGATAATTTTTATTGCCTTTTGCTATAATAAAAATGTCTCATACTTTGGGAATTGGGATATATTTATTTTGGCCTTCCTCTGAATATAAAGTACATATATTTATTTTGGCCTTCCTCTGAATATAAAGTACATATATTTATTTTGGCCTTCCTCTAAATATAAAGTACATATATTTATTTAGGCCTTCCTCTGAAAATAAAGTACATATATTTATTTTGGATTTTCTCTGAATATAAAGCACATATATTTATTTTGGCCTTCCTCTGAATATAAAGTACATATATTTATTTTGGCCTTCCTCTGAATATAAAGTACATATATTTATTTTGGCCTTCCTCTGAATATAAAGTACATATATTTATTTAGGCCTTCCTCTGAATATAAAGTACATATATTTATTTTGGCCTTCCTCTAAATATAAAGTACATATATTTATTTTGGCCTTCCTCTAAATATAAAGTACATAGAATTATTTTGGCCTTCCTCTAAATATAAAGTACATATATTTATTTAGGCCTTCCTCTGAAAATAAAGTACATATATTTATTTTGGATTTTCTCTGAATATAAAGTACATATATTTATTTTGGCCTTCCTCTGAATATAAAGTACATATATTTATTTTGCCTTCCTCTGAATATAAAGTACACATATTTATTTTGGCCTTCCTCTGAATATAAAGTATATGCATTTTTTTAGGCCTTCCTCTGAATATAAAGTACATATATTTATTTTGGCCTTCCTCTGAATATAGAGTACTGGCCAGATCCCCTGGTCACCATTCTCTCCACATTGTAATCGATTTATTCACATTTCTGCATTGTTCACTTGCTCTCAGATAATCTTATCATGCATCAATCCACCACCTAGTGGTGCGGCACCAGCCAGTCTGTCTGCTTGTTCATTTCTAATTACTACTGCACACCTTAGACAAAAGATCTGAAGGATGCTAACCTCATAACTCTTACAGTCAAAGGGAGGTTTAGCATCAGAGGCCCATCAGGTAGTAAAGAGAGGTAACAATATTGCATATTGCATTCACTTGATTTCTAGGTAGGCACCTATGAATGTATTATGCTTACCTTGGGACTAAAAGGGTTGAATGATGCTTTCCACTCTGCATGAGCAAACCTCTCTCCACCTTTATTTTTTCAACAAAATCTTTTTCTTCTTCTGCCTTTTTATTCCCCAATGGAGCATAAGCCTAAGAACAACTCACCCCAAGTCAATTTATCCTTCACTATTACATGCAGCTCTCCTCATGTCCTCCTCATCTTTTTTAACTTCACTCTCTAGCTCCTTCCTATATTTCTATGCCCCTGTGTGTTCCAGTGCAAAGAACATTCTAGTTATATTGTTCTCAGGTTTTCTCAGCAGGTATCCTATTAAAAACCAGTGTGTTTTCTTCACCTCTTGGTCCACTGGAACTTGCTTAGTTCTCTCAGTTTAGGCACAATCTTCAAAAATCAGTAGTTTCCTCTGCAGCTGCAAGCAATTTTAAACTTTCTGATTGTCCGTGATTCCCTATGATGCATTATGCAGACATTTTTTTCATGATCACGTAGCAAGTCCCTTGCAGAATTTTGCTCTCAAGTTATGCTGTAAACCACTTGATCCTCTGCCAACTTGGCTGTCTCATAAATGTTCATGTCTAGTGTCTCTCTGACATGCTCTGTCCATTGCTGTGCTAGTTATCCTCTGCTTTTTCTTCCAGGAGCCATACAAATCAATAAAACATATTACTATGTAAGTTTCAACAAATGCCAAGAATGTCTCACCATATCCTTAACCTTGAGGTAGCCTGCAGCAAAAACTATAGCATTGGGTGGAGTGGCCACAGGTAACAAGAATGCCAATGAAGAAGCAACTGTACACGGAATCATAAAATACAAAGGATTCAGGCCCATACGTACTGCCTGAAATAACAACAATAATGAGGTTATTCAAGGAAGATGAAGTATAACCCTAACTACATAACAGTACATTAATATTCACTTCATCTTTAAACATCTTTGGGTTCCAGAGCAAAGAACAATATATATATATTGTTCTCAGATTTTATACATGGGGTAGTTGTCTCAAAGCCACAGAACTGAATTTTTTTTTTCTAAATTGACTACCATGAAAATCCAATACTGGTAAATGTCAATGAATAAACTGTGAAAGGATTTCACTAAACTCAATGCCACACAGCTGCTCTGGAAATCATGTTGTTTTATGATATATGAATACCTCATATGCAAATTCTTGTTCTTGGGATGTGCTGTTGAATCCTTTCCTGTAGTTCTCAATAGCTATCTTCATTAACATATTTTCTTTCCAAAAACTATTGTAGTATTATTGTTCTGATATTTTAATTGCTATCTGGATTCAAACCTTAAAAGCAGTAAGCAGACACTTTCTGATAATTGTCAGCGCAGAAATTTTCGCCTGTGAAGGTTTTCAGATGAGAGAAGAGACATGTGCAGCTGCACTAGACTTAGAGGATGCATCCAACAGAGTACCATTTGAATACTTGTTGCACATATTTCTCCAACTGGAAGCATCTACCTTCATCACCTGCTGGGTAGTTGCAGCACTGTTCCTGAGACGGCTGATACTTAGGTGTGGTTGTTGGTCCTTAGAACCGATAACCATCAGTCCAGGATTGTTTAAAGGTTCTCTGCTGTCTCCAATTCTATTAAATGTGTATACAGTGCTAATAACTGAGCAGCAGTTGCAAGGGAGTGGCAGGACTTTGTCATTTGCTGATGACGTCTTGGTATACCCACAAAGAAGAGATCTTCAAGAGATTTCCACTTCAGTGCAGAGTAAACTTTATCGCATCTCCCCCTGTTGTGAAGATTCTAACATACATTTCAACCCTTCAAAGGCCTCTGTAACTTGGTTCTCCTTGAACACACATGTAGTTAATGCAGACTTAGCAGTGGAAAGCAGCAACAACATTTTGATGAGAAAAAACCTAGTGACATATCTTAGAGCGAGGTTTGATCGCAGCCTGTCCTTCAAAGAGCAAGTTGACCATGTTATAACAAAAGCACGCAAAAGCCTGACAGCCATGAGAGTCCTGGCCGCCATCAATATTGAGTAGAGATTCTGCTTCTGTTCCAGGGACTTGTTTTTTCTCCCATCAAGTATGCTCTAGTTATTCACACTGTCAGCCATACTCAGACTGAAAGACTTGAAATGTGCAAAACGAAGCAATGTACATTCTTCTGGGGTGCACAAGAGACACTCTTGTGTAGCAATGAAGTACTTTCTTGACTTCCCTGCCATGAAATACAGGACTAAAATCTGGAAGGCTCACACATACATCAAGATAAGCTCCAGTCTGAAGCACCCTTTGCACCACATGCTCTTCAGGAAAAAGAGCAATAGACTAAAAAGTGGCAAATCATGGCTGGGTATGGGCAGAGGATGACACCAGTCACCCACCCAAACCACACAACCAAGCACCTGTACACACCCATCCAACCACATGGTGACAAGATAAGGAAAGAGAGAAGTTTTGAGTTGTTGACAATAAGAAATACCTGACATCCCTGCTATAAAAAGACACCCTGCATCACAACAAGGCATTAATGGGAAAGGAAATCACTCTGTGTGTGGGCCTGACTTTGTTATTTGTTCCGACAAAACAAAGAAACAGTGAACATATTTCTTTAAAGACATAAGCTACAGTCCAGGAGCCAGAGAAGCCAGAATCTGACGGCTAAAGTCCCTTGAGCCACCAACACCCCACCCCCACCCTCGACTGAAGTCTCCTAGAAATTGTAGCAGCAGGCTAATTCCCGTCCATCTAAACCACATACGCATATTCTCTTTTGCAGTATGTGATTATACACTTCCTGTTATTTTAAATAAATTATTATATTTATTATCCATTCAGCACATAAAAATAATTATTATTATTATTTCGCTGAAAATTAAGGTGCTGTGCCAAAAAGTACAGATGCTGCAGTCTAGCTGTAAACTGCAATACAGTTTACCAACCACCCTGGCTAGCCTTATATGCTGGTGGAAAGTTCTGCTTGTTTATCCACTTCTGGACTGAAGTCTTATTTCAGAACCTGAGTTTTGCATGCAAATCCATTTGACAGATTGGGCTTTATGGGTTTGCAGAATGTTGTTTCTCCACCTCTCAGGCAGATGCACTCTGACTTCAAAGATACCTAGTTAGTCGACACTTACAGCACGCTTGTTTGAAGGAAATGGGTTTATTCTTGCCCACATCCCCCCCCCCCCTCCCCCCTTCTTCCACAATGGGGCCCCAAACCACACATGCGCCCCTCGTTATAGCTGTTATTTTTGCCAGCCCAACTCACAAGATCTCCAACAATTGGAATGAAAAGAGTTGTTGTAGCAGCATTGCTAGTGACTTGTGTGATTGATGTGACCAGAAGTGACAGGAGCGAGGCCGTCACCCAGGTTGGAAGTGATGCCAAACCTTCTAAGTAAGTGGACATCCATGCTGAAAGACCTGAAACCTGAAATTTTCACAGATTTATTTTCATGTTAAAGTGAGAACCACAAAAATCACTAATTTATTAACGCTTTCCATCTTTCATGATGTCACTGCAGATCTCATTCTTCTTCTTCTGTGTTCACCAGTTGTGAGCTTCATTGGAAAGTCCTAGTTGTTCATTCATTTGGACTTAGGCTTTGTACCAGGTCCTGAGGTTTGCGTGCATTTTGACTTTGAATGAATCTACCGATTACTTGACTCCTATAAAATGCATTTTGGGGGGAAGATAATGGTTCCATTTTTCTTTTCTGCATAATGAGGCCCCGGAACCAACATGGAGAACTGCAGATCTCCAAGAGGTGAAATCATCATCTTCATCCTCCTTTGTCATGTAGGGCTTAAACTCAATTCCTCCATCGCATTCTTTCCTATCCAGTCCTTTTGATACTGTGTATAGAATCCACTCTGCCACTTTGGCCTCTCTCCTCTACATTCACTGCAAGGTTTTTCTTGGAGGACCTCACTTGCTGAATTCATTAATTACCCCTTCCAATGCCTGGTTGGTTTTTTTGTTGGTGTTTTTTTTTTTTTTAATTTTCCTTAGGATGTACTAAATTTATCACCAGCTTTTTTTAAAAATAGAAATATTGATACTGTTTTTGTCCAACCATTTCCCTGATATCTTTGCCATTTTGACATCATTCTATTTAATGTTCTTCAGTTTTCTCAGACAAAAAAGTGATAAAATAACCATGGGTAAAAAAAATTCACTAAACATCACTCTTAAAGACAATAATACACAGTAAATCATAATGGATGAACTAGCAGGTCTCTGTGTTAGAAGAAACACAGTTAAACAGATATGTAAGTTATGCATCGTGTCAGAACAGTATCTCTAGCCACAAAACATTTACACATTCTGACCATAAATAATGATACTGATCTTATTATGAACCAAGACAAACAAAATGGTCATTCATGGTGAACAGCATGTCATCCATATAGACAACATTTATCGCTAATTTGGCAAAGTTATAATGCTGTCCAGTCAGAAGACGATAAATACCTACCATTTTGTAAAACTAGTGAGAATTGGGTGGTTATGATATAGAATGGAGCAAAGAGCAAATATTAAACTATGTTTTCAATTTGGAAAAGTGTTAATGAGATAGATAAATTGATGAGACAGGTTTACATATATCAAAGCCTATCTTGTGCACATATATTCAGGTGGTATTCACTATTCAAAACGTCTCTGGAAATGATTAAAGATGAAACTAGGCCAGGGCATTTAATGTCTCTTTGTAATAATGAACCCATTGCCAAAGTCAAATTGATACAGGATAATCAATGTCTGAATGTGAGGATGAGGGCTGGTCAATTTTATGTTGAATATGATAAATGTCGATTTGGTTAGCTTGTCTTATCAAGAGTTGAAAACATATTTTAATGTTCACTCTGTATTCCATGCTTTAACATAACCATGTGACGTTCACTAGATAAATTACATGCTGGTTTACTAGTTATAATCTTCTGAATGGGTGGCATTACAATTTGACCATATGGTGTCTGTTTTGACGATATGCTTTGCTTCATGGATGATGATTTTGTCTAGGCTATAATGCAATCAGTGTCACTTTTTAAATTTTCAGACTCTGTTTGTCATGTATTCATAGATTTTCAAAAAGCCTTTGATAGCGTGTTTCACACAATACTCTATTATTCTATTAAAAATTTACATTATGGGCAAAACAACGGATACAGAATTTTGTTGACTGGACAGGCCTCAAAAAGGCAAATATGAAGTCCACTGCATCTGACCGAGAGAGAGGGAGGGAACTGATGAGACAGTCAACAGCAGCTTGTTGTGTCATAGGAGTGTGAAGATGATAATCAATACACGAGAGAAGTGGTCGTTGGAAGTAAAGTCCCCTTTATATGCCAATGGTGCATCTGGCATATGAGGTCAGACTCATACATCACACATCAAGCCAGTCACCTTTACTTCCCAGGACTTTACCTGGTGCCCATTCAAAGCTGTGCCAATGTCATGTTTGAAAAACATCCAGCTCCCTGCAGTAGCCATTGCAGAAGAAAGTATTTTTTTACTGTGCTTAGTTCAAAAGATTGTTGGTTGGTGGGTCCATGGAAGACAAAATCTAAACTCACACATGTGTGTTGCTTTATTGCACCGGCTGTCTGAGGCCTTTATAAGGATTTTCATCTATCAAAGGGAAGTTTCTCTTCTTCTTTTTTCATTCGCTTGAAACAGATAATCTATATCTGGCAATGTTGTCTCTAGCATGAACTTCAATGTCTTTTGTAATTCACTCAGCGACCCGTAAAGTTTGACTTGCACCAATGTTTCTCTTGGCCATAAGTTTTGCCTTGATATGTTGTATTTTGGAAAAGTCTTGGAGGACATGATCTGTTGTCTCATGTGCCAATCCACATCAGAGTGAAATGATGTAGAAACTATTCTCCTGACACTTATTTTTTTGTCTCTTTCCTTTTTTTTTCTGCATTTTCTGACTGGGTACTCTAATGGAAAGTTCTCGTTGTCTTCCACATCTGGACTTTAACCTTGTTCTAGGGCTTGAGTATTGGGAGTGAATTCATTTAATAGATCTAGCTTATCTGAGTGTAGACTGTAGATTCCTTGTCTCTCAGGCAGATTTGCTCCAGCATCAAAGGAAACATTGATCCTGTCTCTGTTAGTCAGGACCACGGTAAGGAACCTGTTTCTATGATGATCACACAAAAAAGTGTAGATAGGCTTTGACCATATTGAACCCTGGTCCACCACCACCATCTGTGACACACCTCTGCACCTGTGCTGAAGTTCAAGCTCAAAAGAAATTTGTTTTGATTTAGATTTACGTTAATCTCCCCAAATAGAGTAGGTCACTTTTCATTTATAAGTTTGTTTGGTTGGTCGACTTTCGTGAAGTTTACTGGTGTGTTCCGCTCTGTTGTTTGTTTTCTGTAATGTCTTGCATTTACGTTTTCATTCTGAGAAAGAGAATGCCTGAGACACAGGTTGCAACACTCTCTAGGGGGGTTGTGTTAGAACCAATCAGAACTAAGCTAGTGGGTATATGGGCGGGGCCTGGGAAGACTAACTGTACGTGTTCCTTGTTTTGAAGCCCTCTCCCCCCCCTCCCCCACACTACCCGTATTGCTTTCTCCCAAAAGTAATCAATTGGGAGTGCCTTGCTAAAACTCATTTGCAGGGAGCTAATTTAGGATTTAACTAGCATATGATTGAGTATAGCACACATGGATTAGTACCCCTTTGACCTAGGTTCTGAATATTTTTTTACATGTCTTAGTATTACAACAAAAATGTCTCTTAAAATACGATACATACATTTTATTGTAAGAATACCTGACCTCACAAGCATCAGCCAAGGCAAATCCACCCCCCATCAATAAAAGTACTCCCCAGGCCATCCTCTTGTTGACTGTGTTCCAGTCCAGTATGGGTTCATAAATTGGCAGTTCTTCTAAAACCTCAGCTGAAACACATTAGTAATGTTAACACAGACTTAACAAGTCTCCTCCTCTTCTTTACTGTTCACTGAATGTAAACTCTTTCAGAAAGTTAAGGTTGCTCATCCACTTCGGGACATTGTCTTGCCCAAGAACTTGAGTGCACATTTATTTTACAGATCGGGTTTATTTGTGGACAGACCCTAGGTTTCTCACCTCTTAGTTAATATTATCAGTGGTCCCCACTAGAGGTGCAATTTTTTTATTTTTTGAAGCCCCACTCTGGCTTTTGCCGGGGGCCCTGAATATAGCCAGGCTATAAATATGACCTAATGGCTGAAAGGGATTTCTGGGACCTCTCCACGGGTGTTGCTTATCTGCATGGTATCACTTTGTGTCACCGGGTGTTTATCGCTTGTGTGATGTCCTGGTGGGGTACAACAAGAGAGAGAGAAAGTTTCTCACCTCTCATGCAGACACATTCCAACTTCAAAGGAAACAACCCTGATTAGTCATCTTTTAGGACATGCTTGTTAAAGGGAAGTATTGATTTAATCCTCCCCATCCCAAAATGGCGTTTTAGAACTCACACAGAAAATGTGTACTGTAATTCTTTCTGTATGACAATATTTATGTTATATTTATTGCTCTATCAAAGAAACCAGGCACTTTAAAATGTGAAGACCATCGCACAATAAGTGCAATAAGTCATGTGACAAAAATTTTACTGAAAATAATCATAAGAAAAAGACTAAAATAGAAATTAGTGAAGAACAGTGTGGATTTGTGGAAGGAAAAGGTAAAACAATGCCATGTATATCCTCAGAACTGTCAGATAAAGCTGGAGAAGTAAAACATCATCTTTACTTACGCTTCATAAGTTTGAAAGCATTTGATTGATTGAAACATGAAGAAATCATAAAACTACTGGAAAAGTTAAACATTGCTGGAAAAGATTTATGATTATAAAGATCATGTATTAGCAACAAACAGAAGCTATAAGATATAATAACCATTTGGAAACATTTTGGAGCAAAAGGATTGGAGTATAACAAGGATGTGTACTATCACCTGATTTATTTTTATTATAAAGTCAATATATAATGAGATCTAACATGAATACATGTCATAACTTAAACAACATATGTTATGCTGATGACACTGGACTTCCGGTTAAAATGGACGTTAGGCAGTGGCGCTGTTCGAAACAGAGGCAAATTTTTTGCTTTTGCCGGACGGTGTCCGATGAATTTTTGCTCTATTTGTAGACTGGATATAGTTTCATCGCCCAGCTTCTGAGTTGAATGCATGGCGTGACCCTGTGAGCTGCGGATTGCATTTGGAATGTTTTTTCAACTGTGACCAACGGGTTAGTGTGAATTGTAGATTCAGAAAATGGTGCGATTCCTGTCGTGCAGTGTTGTGGTGCCCGTATGTGAGTAAAATGGATCGCGTGGGCAACTGCTGATCTGTTGGAGACTTCTGCTACCATCAATGATGAACTGCAATTCTAATACTGTGATAAACATTCTGTGTGTTTTTCGTTGGCACAGGAGCGAAGCAAAGATGGGGCAACCTGTTTGCTATGAAGCTGAAACTAAGACTACCAGACTACCAGGCTGATGACACTGTCCTGATAGCGACAAGTTAAAAAGAACTACAGGAATTGATATACAGTGGTGGTATAAAGTGATAAAATTGGCCTTAGTCTGAATAATGAGAAGAAGACAGAAGTCATGGTGATTTCCAAGAAAAGAATAGTGCCCAAATGTAGAAAGGATTGTTTAAGGACAAATACAGAAATCTAAATTTATATGCACATGGATAACATCCAATGGAAGTTGTATCCACCTCCACCAAATCCAAATCTTTTTCCCCTTTAATCCTTCTTGTTCTTCTCCACTTTCTTCTTTTCCTCATCCTCCTTTTTCTTCTTCTTTTTCTTCTTCTTCATTTGCCCGTAAAAGGGCTATTGCCCTATTGTGTTGTGGTTTACAGCTAGGCTGCAATATCTGCACCTTTATGTCCAACACATCCAATTTCAACCAATCCCTAATTAATTGCCTTTTATGACACTATGACATCCTTGCCATGGGGCGGTGGGTATATCCACCCCCCTCCCCTGAGATCCCCAAACCCACAGCAATTTACTTATTACTTTGACAAAAACAAGAACAAGAACTTACAAACAGCATCTGTTTTCGATCGACAGCACCATAACCAAGCTGGAGGTCTAGCAGGCAGAATGAACAACAAGACAGAGATAGCAATGGCTGGCGTTGAGTCTCCAACATATCTGAGGAAGATTCAATTATCACCGTAGCAACAGGAAGTAGCCAACACAAGTAGTCTAAAGAAGTTACATTAAATATTTAAATTAGTCTAGAGACGTTTCATGTAGTAGTTTCAATAATTTATAGAAGTAGCAATGTAAAAAGTGGAAGTATCATGCACAAATCTGAAATAAGCAAGAGGGGTAATATACTGAAATCTGACATAGATCAAAATCTGATAAAGACCATAACATACAGAAATATGAAATAGCCTAGAGAAATAAAATGTATACAAATCTAAACAAGTATAGAGAAGTGATTTAACAAATTTGAAGTGATCCAGAGAAGTGACATAACAAATCTGAAGTGATTTAGGGTCCAGAGAAGTGATATAACAAATCTGAAGTGATCCAGAGAAGTGACATAACAAATCTGAAGTGATCCAGGGTCCAGAGAAGTGATATAACAAATCGGAAGTGATCCAGGGTCCAGAGAAGTGACATAACAAATCAGAAGTGATCCAGGGTCCAGAGAAGGGACATAACAAATCTGAAGTGATCCAGGGTCCAGAGAAGTGATATAACAAATCTGAAGTGATCCAGAGAAGTGACATAACAAATCTGAAGTGATCCAGGGTCCAGAGAAGTGAAATAACAAATCTGAAGTGATCCAGAGAAGTGACATAACAAATCTGAAGTGACCCAGAAAAGTGACATAACAAATCTGAAGTGATTCAGAGAAGCGACATGCATAAATCTCTTTTTCCCAAAAGTAACATGAAGAAATCTTAATCAACCTAGAAAAGTGACATTAGGTAATTTGAAATGACATGAAGGTTCCTTGAACAAAACTAACCAAAAAAAAAATTTTTTTATGAGGGAGCTGGAGGGCTTCTCCCTCACCTTCCTGATAATTTTTAAAGGGAACATAGAGGGCCCCATTGATCATCATAAAAAATCATCATCATCAAGTGCCTTGTCAGCTGCAGTAGGCATTCATACATCTCCACAGATGTGTCTTTTGTCTCTGGATCAATTCCACTGATGATATTTCTTCATGCCACTGTCTTAAGCCATCAACCATCGTTTCTCTTGGTCTGCCTCTGTCTCTTCAACCAGTGATCTTTCCAGTTAAGATGATATTTTCCATTGCTCCTTCTCTCATCACATGACCAAAGAACTTTGTTTGTCTACTTTGATCATAGGAATTCTTTTTGAAAATATATGTACATACATTTCACGTTATTTCGAGTACAGATTTATATTTATTTGACATTCAGCACAATGATATTAATAACAAGAAACAAAATGTGTCACATGACAAATAAATATAATAATATACTTAAAACATAGACACCAAAAGCTGAAAGCTTTGGCATCTAAATGACTCTTTCCTCGACTACCCCTTCCCCTCCCCCACCCCCATTTTCTTAGGGGAGCAGAGCGTTAACCCCCCCCCTCCCACTTTTTCCCCATATATATATTATAGACATTCTCTTGTTTTAATTGAAGCATTTGTTTACACATGTCATACTTTTTAAAAATATATTTTTTTTTTGCTACTCAGCAAATAATAATAATAGTGTTGTCTGTGGTGGCGTGCCTGTTTGATACTCATATGATGCTGAGTCCACCTGGGAAACATCAAAGTTAAGAGATAATAATTTGTTTTATTTTTCTGTTTGGTTTTGTTGCAGAGTTGAGTTGATTCAAGAACCGACATTATAGCACTCAGAGCATTCCTAAAAGCGCTCTGTCCACATCTTCTACAGCCAGCGCAGAGTTCCAATACTAATGGTGCCAGTAGCATTATGATTAAATGTCCGTCTTGCCTTACCTCTGAGCCTCGAGCATCTGCCAGAACCCCTCATCCCACCCCGCTGCATCAATCTCACCAGACTGTGGTAATCCATCTGCTCCTCCGAAATGTAAACGCTCTCCCACAAGGCACTAACCATGTCTGTCTTATTATGCATCAGTTTTCAACTAAGTCTGACTGCCTGTTCATTTCCCAACACACACAGACAATACACCTCTCCCGTGTTGCGTTTTTTTTTTTTTTGCTAATGTTTAGGAACTTATAAGACTAGATTTTTACTAAAATGCTACATAATATATGAGAAATAAATTTATCTTTGATGAAACAAACATACAGTTTTAGAAGCAATACAAGCAAAGAAATATAATACAATATTATTATGGATTTTCTGTGCTGGCAACTAACCCTGGATCAAATAAAGAATTCCAGCCTGGAATGAATCCTGGTTTTCGTGTCACCCACAATAGTGCCAGCAGTACAAAATTGATAAGCACCAAAATCTCTGCAAATCTGAAATATCACATAAAATATAATCACATTTTATCATCATCAAGTGATGTCCACAGTGAAGATTTACAGAATAGATCTTAACTCATTTTCTATTCTGAGCCTTTGTTGGATATTCTGGTTGACTATATCCTAACCATATCGTGATGGTGTCTTTCCATATCTGTTGGGGGTTGCATGGTCTCAAGGCATGATGTACACCTCGAGTGCTAGAGGTTGCGGGTTCAATCCCTGGTAAGGGCTGGGAATTGTTCATGCGGACCTGGACTTCTAGTAATTTTCCCTGGTCTCTGGGTAGTGAGATCGGACACCCATGTGTATTGTCATGCAACTAAAAATTCCATTGTCAGTTGAAAATTGAAAAGAGTAGCCTAACAACACTTCCTGGGCAAAATGTAGAGTTAGAAATCTACCCAAAGTATTTCATGATCCTCGCCGGTGCTACAGAGCTTGTGCACTGTGCTGAGAAGAAGAACGGATCACTTATAGGTTTCATCCGTGTGCCATGGATACATTGTTTAAAAACCTTTAAAAAACCTTTTATTTGTCTTTGATGTCTGCTAGCTCATAGACCTAAAGCTTTTTCCTCCTTTATGGTCTTTAGTAGATTTTTGTGTTATTTGATGTCAGAACTGAATAATTGTTTATTAAAACAGCTCATAGATTATGTGATAAGTGCAGAAAATGAGAAGTGTATTTTTCAAATAAGTGGGATTACATTTCTGTGGGAATATTTAAAGTGATTTGAATTATTACTATTTTACTTTGCAACATTAATTAGTTAGTTAGTCTTTCCTCTTGGGCCTAGGGCGGCGCATAGGGCAGAGGTCATAGCTCTCTCCATGTCTGGGGGTTCGTTGCCACCTGCTTTAGGTCTTGGATGTTTGTTAGGCCCCTGGTTGAGCCTTCCCTGATGATAGTTTTGTGTAGAGTCTCTTTTGGTCTTATCCGTTTTTCTTACCCTTCCGGTGTCCATATGAGGGCTTGATGGGGAAGTCTTGTCTTATTCATACTGATTGTATGGCAGATAGCAGCGCACCAGTGGTACTTTCTTATGAAATTGGATACATTGCCTTGCTTGGTCTCTTGTCTTATTTGGCAATATTAATACCCCCAGATTTAAAAAAAAAATTTTAGTCAACACACATAGTCTTATGATACTGGAGCAAAAAAAAATGTGTTATGCAACAGTACATACTGTTCTTAGTTGCCATACTTACGACATTGGTCCCATTTTGACGTACTCCTCCCTCAGGGATATCCTCACTTTTTCATAACAAGTTTTATCCTTTTTCCAAAACTTCAGGCAGCTGTAATAAAAAAAATTTGAGGTCCATACAAGTTTGGTGAGATGATGGTTGTGATAACATTGATGTGTCATGGTAATGATGATCATAAAAGCAGTTGTAATAAGTCACTGACCACGAAAGTAACTTCTCCTTCTTCTGCTTTCGTTCGCTTGAAATAGATAATCTATATCTGCAATGTTGTCTCTAGTATAAACTTCACTGTCTGTTATAATTCACTCAATAACCCATAAAGTTTGACTTGCACCGATGTTTCTCCTGGCCAAAAGTTTTGCTTTGATACCTTGTATTTGAGACAGTCTTGAAGAACATGATCTGTTGTCTCAGGTGCCAGTCCACATGTGCACATGGCTGATTCACTGATTTTAAATATTGCGTACACATGGCTGTGAAGTCGACTGTGTCCTGTTCTAAAGCGTAGAATAATAACTTGCTCTGGTCTGTCCATAAAATGAAAGTAACTGTATATGGGAGTGTCCCTAGTGCTATGATGTTGCTTCTTAATTCAACATTTGACATTCAACATTCGACATTCAACATTTGACATTCAACATCTGACATTTGTATTCTTTTATTTACACATTTTTATTGCACTGTAAGATGGGAGGAGGCTCTTGAGTATAACGATTTAAGTCTGTACTGCTAGCAGTGAGCTACTTAGTGATAAAACTGTCGAAAACTGTCACTACTGTCTGTATGTACCACATTTCAGGAAGTGTAGACAGGGGGTCATGAGCCTGAGGATTTAGGGCCACATAGCTAGTACTGTTGCTACAGACTGTACAGGTTAGGATGTTTAATTCTGCCCCCACAAAAAACTCAATCCCCTTACCAGAGTTCAAACCCAGGACTCCTGCATGGGAGCCCAACTCTGTAACCGCTCAGCCATCAGCTCCTCACTTAATGATAAAACAGACTTATAAAAGGTACTGACAGACTAATTCAACAGTAGGAAGGAAAATTGAGGGGGGGGGGGGGGGGTGGGGGGTTTGTTTGCTAAATGGAGGGGGGGGGGGTTGCTAGAAATGGAAAGGGGGGGGGGGGGGGGGTAACAAGGTTATGAAAGATATTCAACACTGGGGGTGAGGGGGTGGGGGGGGGTGTGCATCATAGGTGGACTTTTAATCAGGTTGCAACTGGTATAATTATCATATCAAGTCTTCTTTAGCTACTGATGGAGGAGGCCTGGAGTGAGTGGAAATATCCTGAGTGATGTCAGTTTCTTCATTCATTCAATATTTCTACATTGCTAATGCAGTTGCAGTTCCTTGGCCGTGGCTTACTCCCAGAAATGAAGCCACTGACAAGGAAAGTAGAAATACAAAAACATCCAAGTTTTGATACTCATGAACCATCAGGCAATTAGCACAACATAGAAATTACCATGCAAGTGAGCGTTGACAACACGAGAAAAGAGACAACGGTTAAACCCTTGAAAAAAAGGAATGCATAGCACCTACACAACATAGGACAGGCCGTGGGGAGAGGAAAGAACTTTCACCATGCGGGTGAGTTCGTGATAAGTATCAAATAATTTTATTTTACTTAAAATTGAAAATGAGAATAAACTTGTCAGCAAACATCGGTACCTTAGCACTCTGAGGAGGATAGGGACACAACTTTCTCATACCAAGTGTTTTTTTCCTGTGTCCTTTTTGATGCTTTTAATGGTATATTCTAAGTTTGGGAAGTGTTTTATATGTTAAGAAAATAGTACTTTATGTGTATATTTAAAGGCCATCAGTATATGGGTACCTGAAAGGTTCATAAAAATATGTCCACTGTTAGTAAAGTTTTATAAACTCTGTGGTTATAAAGAGTTTTTTTTTTTTTACAGATATCTGCAGGAAAAATGGTGCATTTTAGAATATTAAAAAAAATACAGATAACCGCATTTGAGAAATAGCTGGAATAAGACCATGTATGAATTGTATTGATGGACAAAGAATGAAATGGTTCGGCCTTCTAGTGAAAATGCAGCCAGAAATAACTGCATATAAGACTTTTTAACAGCAGAAATTCAGGGAAGAAGGTGATCGGAAAACCAAGAAAGAGATAGGTAAATGGTGTACCTGAAACCTGTGAACAATTGAAAAAATCCATCACAAAAATGACCCAAGAAGGACAAGACAAATACAGAAAACCACAACACTGGGCTACAACCTATATCCGTGAGACGACAAAATAAGAAGAAGAAGAACAGTAACAGATATTCAGATGTAATTCTTTTAAAGTATACATTACCTGAGTCCTTGAGAGTAGAGCTGCATCCAGAGCCAGAGGAACACAAAAAGAATGATAGCCATTGGTATACCTAAAGCCAGCCAGTTGGCAAAGTTGACTGGGTTGGCAGCTGCATATTTCAGGTACAGGCTGTGTAAAATGAAAACCAAAGTATGTAAGGGGAAAAACTCTGCGTCTCCAGGGATGATATTTTTTGATTATTTTCGTCTTAAAAAGTGTGTCAGCAGCATGAAAAGTCTGAAAAGCTCTGCTTTAGACTAGAGTTCTTCAACCTGTGGACCGCGATCCCCTGATGGGCCTGGAAAAGTGCAGTCGGACTAATAAACTGTTTAATCTTCTTCTTTACACTCAACAGCTGTAAACTCTGGCAGAAAGTTGTGGTTAGTCCTCCGCTTCTGGACTCTAGTCATGTGCCAGTAACTGAGTGCTGTGTGCACATCCGTTTCACAGGTCTGACTCATTTGCATGCAGACTGTTGGTTCTTTGCCTCTCAGGCAGATACACTCCAACTTCGAAGGAAGCTCCCAATATGACATGCTTGTTGAGCAAGCAGTAGGTCTATTCTTGTTTTCCCCACACACACAAATTGAACCAAAATTTGTTTTCCTTCCTTGTCCAGTTCCACTTTGTATTAAGCCTTTATCTTGTGATTATTCATAGCAGCTCTCTCCTCTTTTGAGCCTCTGCCTTGAAATATTCTGAGGCTGTATGAAGTCATAAGAAAAAAATTACCTTTGTACTGTGGTAGCAAAACCTGAGGTGTTTTGGTCATGTTGAATGTTCTTGTAGCCAGCAGATGGGAATGGCGGGGCGGGGGGGGGGGGGGGGGGGGGGGGGGGGGGGGGGGGGGGGGGGGGGGGGGGGGGGGGGGGGGGGGGGGGGGGGGGGGGGGGGGGGGGGGGGGGGGGGGCAGGGGGGGGGGGGGGGGGTGTTCACTTTCTAGAAAATGATGTAGAGGTAGACCTCAGCTAAAGCTGATAAAAGACATCTAAGATGCTTTGACTATAAAAGCTGATAAGAGTGAGGAATTGGATAGAGCAAGAGTGACTTTCAGCCCTGCCATGAAGACAGCGACATTCAAATTGAGACTATGTTAGCAATGTGTCTTGAAGTTTGCCTGTTGGCACAGGGGACTTCAGCCTGATTCACATCTGGGAATCAACAAACACAAATGACCTGGACTCCTAGGTCATCCCAGCAAGAAACAGGTACCAGAAAATATTACAGGTCATAGAGACAGCTGGTATAATATAAACCACAGCACCCACCAAATGTCAATTGGCCTATTAAAAAGTTAGGTCCAACACCATATGCTTGATGTTCTAGTGTCATATGGAATGTCATTTGCCTTATTTATTTAATTTGTTGTTGTTGAACATTCTTATTACTTACCTGTCAGACAAGCCCTTGAATATGACATTGGGTGGAGTTCCTGTCAAAGTAGCCATCCCTCCAATGTTTGAACTAAAAGCTGCAGCCAGGGAAAATGTCTTGGCAAATCCTAAAAATTGATTCTCCCTCTCTGCTCTGTTGTAGGTCAGTCTAAACAGTAGCAGAAAATAGAACTGGTCATTTTTTAATGACAATAAGAATCAACTGCAACCTGTGTGGGTTGCAATGTCCCATCTGAGGGGAACAGAACAGACCCTCTGACTCTCTAACCAGTTAATAAACCTGATGTAAAAGGTCCCTTAGTCTTAGTCAAAGTTTCAACTTCACTACAACCAGGTCACCTCATACTTGCTCTGTTGCTGTGCCAGTTACACTCAAATGAAATATTCCTCATTGTCTCTATTTGAAAAACTGGTGAACAAACAATTGTTCTGGCAAAATCCAGAAATATGCGCAGTCAGTAAATGACTATAGCAGTTGCTAAAAGCTAACAGTAACTACCAAAAATGATAGAAGTACTCGGTCACAATAAGTTGGCTATACACATGTAAAATTATTACAAAAGTCCACTAATTAGGTGTTTGCTAAAAATCAGGTATGTTGAGCCAAAGGGCGCAGACAAAAACTGTAGTACCATAGTACAACATGTCAGCTGCTCTTTAAAGGCAGAACAAAGAAATAAAAGATTTCAATACATTTTTATCACTTCTTTCTATCATGTGCTATTCTTTTATTACTGTGTATGGAATTCAGTAGGGCACTTCTTGCCTCTCTCATCAACATATATCAACATTATTTGTCTTGGATGTCGTTTGCATTCCCAGTCCTTTTGTTTCCTATTACAGTATCTCTTATTGTGAGTCTTTATCCATTCAGTCTCATAATGTACCCAAATTAGTTCAGTATAAGCGTGAATGACTTTCATTTTTAGAGTAACATTTTTAGAGTAAATTTGCTGAACAATCATCCTGTAAGGTGTGTAGCTTTTTCTTCTTCAGATGACCTTGTACAGTGCCTAGCTGACTTACTTGCTTGTCTTATCATATTTATGAATCCTAATCAAGTTTTGAGGAACCAAATCTTCACACATATGAGATAGATCTGTAAAACAGATGTGCATGTAAAAACTCTTGTTCTAGAACAAGGCTGAAGTCTAGAAGTTGATATACAGCCAGAAGACTCTGCCAGAGTTTGCAGCCAGTGAACATGAAGAAAAGCAGAAGTTCCACAACACCATGTGTCATTGGGTCACCAGCCGCTTATGACTGATTAGCTCTTTCAACCTCTGTCAGTCTGGTGCATGTCTAAAGGCTTATAGATGAGCTGCCAGATGTTGCAGTTGTTTACAAGATGTGTTATTTCAATAACTGCTTTCTGTCTGGGCAACAGCCTGTACTCCAATTAAATGTGCCTAGGCTTGTGCCCTGAAGAGGCTACTTGCTTAACAGCTTGGCCACAACACGGGAAGCAGCAGTTACCAGTTATAAGCCTATGCTTGACTGGCGTAGTGCAAGGTGCCAGGGGTTGCTTCCGCCGCTAGGGAAGATATCATCGTAATCTCACTGAACAGCTACTGCCCGCCTCAGCTGGGCAGCCCCTAGTAAAGTGCTGTCTCGTCATGGTCATTTTGCCTTGCTGGCTGCTCAAGGCTTAGAGGACAAGCTGACATATGGATCATAACCCCTATATCTACAATAAGAAAGCAATAACAACAACAAAATAATCCCAGCTCTAAAGCTGGGCATGTGGAATGTGAGGTCCATGATACCAGGTTTTCTAGAAAATCTTCAACATGTGAACGATGCTAGAAAATCTGCAACATGTGAACGATGCTAGAAAATCTGCAACATGTGAACGATGCTAGAAAATCTGCAACATGTGAACGATGCTAGAAAATCTGCAGTTATCAACTATGAACTATACAAACATAACATGAACATAGTTGCTCTACAGGAAACACAACTTTGCTCCTCTGTTAGAATCAAGGACAATACATACTTTTGGCAGGGAAAAACCATCTTTGGTGCCCAGAGAACAAGGCATAGGCTCTGAGCCAGGAACCATTTACTTGGTACTGTCATACCACCTACAGAAGGACCAGAAAGGACACAAATACACCGGCGTTGGTTGGGTCATGTCTCTCACATGGAGGACGTTTGTGTTACAAAGGATCTCATGCATAATGAACTGATGACAGGGATAAGATCTGCAGGAAAGCCAAAACTACACTATAAGGATGTTTGCAAACATGAAAAGATATCAGCAAGAGAAACCCTAAAATGAATGCTGATGAAAGAAGTCAACAGTGTTGGACTAAATTCCATGCAAAACATTGAAAAGGATTGCACAGGACAGAATGGGGGGTGAAGAAAGAGAATGTGAGGTATGTGTGTTACATAATGGCCTGACCTAATTATGATGATGCATAAGCAGATTCCTGAACAATACCTTCTTTCCTCAATTTCAATCTCCTTCTTTTTGTGGTCTGTATAGTTATTTTCTGTTCCATCAACGGTGATTACCATTCCATGATGCTCATCCATCAGTATTTCTTCATGGCAGTCTGCAGAAAAGTATTTTTTATTAATATCATTATCATCATCATCTTTTAACAGGTCCTTTGTAAAACATTGCTCTCATCGCAGTCTGCCTGAAAGAAACTCAACCTCTCGCCAGCTCTCCAGCCTCATGGACTTTCATATTCAAGAAGTCACTTATTTCCTGTGCCCATCTTTGTGTTGGTCAGCCCCTGCCCCTCCTTCCTGGTTCCATGCCTTCTGTTAATACTTTTTTTCTAATCGGCCACAGTGCTTGATATGTCCAAAATATTTCATTTCCAAGACAAGATGATGTTTATTAGCTAATCATCCTTGATGTTCAGATCTTTAATAACATCAGCACTTTAAAAAAGTAGTCCACGTGGATAACTTTATTTCTGTGTTGTTTTATGCATGTAAGACATGTATATATAAGTAGACAAACTGACAAACATTTCAAGCATGTCACAAAAAGTGACTAATTAGTGCTGTTTCCTTCGAATTCTGAGTACACCTGTTTGAGAGGCAAGGAACTGACAGTCTGCATACAAATATACTATATCCATAAAACAGATGTGCATGCAAAACTCAGATTCTGGAATAAGACTAAAGTCTAGAAGTGGACAGACAGATCTTTATGCTTGAGTTTACAGTCGGTGAATGGGAAGAAGAATTAGCAGTAGACAGTCTGTGTTTTCCAGACATATTATGAGAAGGAAGGAAGGGACTTGAGAACTTGGTAATGACTAGCAATACTGATGAAAAGAGAGCTTAGGGAAGAATGTAGAATGTTGAATGTTAAATTGAGGTTTGATATTACAGCACTCGGGACACCCCCATAAGCACTCTGTCCCCATCTTTAGCAGCAAGCGAAGAGTTCTTATTCCAATGGTACCAGTAACTTTCTGATTGAATATTCTTCTCCCATTTCCCTTGAGTGTTGAGTCCTGGTCAGATGCCATGTTAACTCCCCATTCTCCCCAGACACACAGACTGTAATGATCTATTTGCGCTTCTGCACTGTTTACTGGCTTCCAAAGGGCCCTCACAACATGTAGCTTGTCATACATCTGTTCACCACCAAGAGGTGCAGAACCAGCTAGTCTATCTACCTGCTCATTTCCTAACACCCCAGCATAAATGGGTACGAGGTCAAGTCCTTGGGAGTAACACTGGCTGAACTGTTGCCCACCTCACCTCATTGGGGGCTGAATGGTCTATATAAAAATGAATCTTGCGCCATATGCCAAATGCACCACTATTGTGAGAAAGGTCCTTTATTCTTATATTTGTAATGTTTTTCCTCGTTTTTTGTTTGTTGTTATTGCCATTGTTTGTTATCTTTGCAACTTGTTTTATTATATCAATTTTTCAGTGTCCACTTAATTATAATTTTCCATGAAAAAGGTGAAAATGAAAGCAATTTCTCATTTTAAAATCAAAACTGATCAAGGTACCTGAACATTCAAATACAATTTATGTCTGAACAAAGAAGACACAAACAACTGATTGCATAATTTATTGCCTGGCATATTTCGCTGTATCTCATCACAGGCATTCTACAGTAACAATTACATGAATGAAGCAAATAAGTGAATCCTTAATAAGTGAAGTACCCATTCAATAACAATTAAACACAACTGCCTGTTTTACCAGGGTAGCAGCAGTGTCAGAATCATGTCTTTTTGTTTACACTGTTCAGGGTGGGGATAGCAATTTTGTGGCTGCTTCAAAAAATCTTAGTGTTTTGCCATTGTCTGACGCGTGAAGGATTTGAAATATTAAAAGATAAAGTGCTATTGTGAAGGAATGGTCTTTACAACCTTGGATTCTCATTTTGATTTCTACTTTGCATTTCTTTTTCCACCCATATTTGAAAATGCTCAGCTACAATAGGTTTTTTTTTATTTGGGGGTGTGGTGGAGGGGGGACAGGGGCAGTGGGTCCACATACTAATACAGCTTTTTTTTTCTATTTATATTTGTCCCATACAAAAGCAAATTTACACACCTTATCTTGTATGTTAACCGAGGTCTCCTGGAAAAGAATGCAGAGTTTGAAATACTCTGCCCCTCATTCCACTCCTGTTGAATTGGGGGGAAAATAGACAAGGGACCTTTTGCACACCAGTTGTGTGCAGAATGTGTGCTAGATTCATCATCTTACAGACCATTCCGCACTAATTAAATGATTATCAAAATTAGGCCAGCCACTTTTACTTCCCCTTACATTTACTGGTACAAATTTTAGGATAAATAATAGTAATGAAAGTGATAGTAATAAAAGCACACCTTTTTAGTGTACCTCAAGTCTTGCTTGTACGGACTGTATTAATACATTCAAAATTGTATAGTACATCATTTTGACCTATACACTGATAGCAGTAGTACTTTTGGGGAGGGGCCGAATTCCTCTGATTTGGATTCGAACCTACAACTTTCTGATTAAGGTATTTATGGCAAAAAATTGTGTTTTCATCACCAACCCTGTGACTGGCAGTCCTTGATCTGATGCAGGATAGCTGTAACAATCGGCATCATCATTGCTGTGGTGGCTGTGTTGCTCATCCACATCGACAAGATCCAGGTGGGAAGCATCACCCCAAGTAGAAGCCTGAACAAAGTCATTGTGGTGGTAAAAAATGTCATATGTTTAGTAAAGGAAGTCAAGTATAGAACCCTGTTCTACTGCTTAAGACGTATTGGGCTAGGCCTGTATTTTATAAACTATTGAGGTGGGTGATGTCAACATCGCTCTGACCATCTTTATTTCTCAGTACATTACCTGGTACTCATTTAAGGCTGGGCTAACCTGGAAGCAAAGGTCATTTAAACAAATATCAGGCTCTATTCGGATTGGGTTAAGGTGAGTTGAGTCAAGAATTGACATTACAGCACTCGTGCTCTGTCCTCATCTTTAGCAGCCAGCATAGAGTTCCAATACTGATGGTACCGGCCATAATCTGGTTATATGTCCGTCTTGCCTTTCCTCTGAGAATAGTGAGCCGGCCAGGCCCTCTAGTTACATCCAGGTGCCTCATTCTCTCCAGGCCATAATAATCGTGCTTCTCTACTGATTCTGTTGCTTGTTGCCAAAGGGCCTTAACTACATCTGCCTTGTTATGTATCAATTCACCACCCAGTGGTGCAGATTCAGCCTATCTTTTTTGCCTGGTAAATACCCACTACGCCAGCATGGCTTTAAGAAAAAATCCAAAGTATGCTCACTACCCATGACCTTCCCAGTGAAGCTTTTAATTCTAACCCAACCGTTCGGATTTGCAGGTGAGCATCTAGCCTTGACACCACAGTGGCTCCCCAGTCATATAATTCAAGGATAGTTGACATGCTGATTCAGAACAGTATTATAAATTATCTTCTAGTTACAAGGGACTTAAATGGAAAAGCAACATTGAAATTGATAACCTCTTAAAGATTCTGCTTCTAGATTTTCTAGCTGCCTTGACCTCAGACACACTGGGTTTTTGTAGTTTCACTGATATTATCTTTCCATCTTGTTTTTTGTTTATGTCGTGCTCTATATTCTTCCTCTCTTTTTATCTTATATGGTAGGGCGTCAACAACAACAAAACATACTCGTTAAGTGTGTAAACCATTTGATTTGCTGTCTTCTTCTTCCTCTTACTCTTTTTTTTCTTCTTTTCTTCTTCTTCTTCTTTCTTCTTCTTCTTCTTCTTCTTCTTCTTCTTCTTCTTCTTCTTCACTGTGTTCTTTTTTACATCCATCAGCTGTAAAGTCGGACAGAAAGTTTAGGTTATTTGTCCACCTCTGGATGAAACTCTTGTTCTTAAACTTGAGTTTTGCTTGCATCCATTTTACAGATCTAGCTTATTTGCATGCAAATTGCGGGTCCTTGTCTCTCAGAGGGATGCACTCAGCCTTCAAAGAAAACACACCTTTTTAGTCTACTTGTAGGACATGCTTGTTAGTGGTGGTGGGTCAATTCCACTTCCCCCCCCCCCCCCCCCCCCAACAAAATAATAGGGGCGATACTTACACGAGAAGCACCCAGATCAATCAATCATGTAATAAACTGTCATCTCTACACTAAAGGATGGCTACAATGGATTTCCAATATGCTCTATCTCTTGTCTGGGTTGTCCACTCTCTCAGACTGCTGTTCGCCCATCTCTTGGTGCTGTCCTCCCAGTTGTAAAGCTGTCTATCTTTTGAAAAGGTCCTTGACTAAAATACTTTACAGGTCGAGGTAAAGGTCATTTTATGAGAGTAGAAGACTGTATGAAATACAATTCTGTGAAAAGAGATTTTGGAGCCGACGGCGAAGGAGAATGTTTTACCATTTGGGTTCAGGCCCCACTAAAGTCAGCGTCCTCAAAGCCAGACGTTTGTGAAGATTCCACTTCTCAACAGCTACAGCAACTATCAGACTCCCCAGAAAAAGCATCAGCGTATCCTGAAATTTCAAGAAAAAAAATCAATCCTACGAACTCGGTAAGTAAGGGGGCGCTTTTCAAAGTCATGGAGCGTGTTGGAGAAAGAGGAATGGTGGCGGGGGGGGGGGGGGGGGGGTAGAGGTGGCAGGGAAGAAAAAGCAGGAGAATAACAAGAAAAAGAAGAACAACAAGAAAAAGAAGACAAAAAAAGAGCAAGAAGAACAAGTAGAAATTGCAACAACAGAAGAAGGAGGAGACGAGGAAGAGAGAGAGAGGAGCAAGAGGGGTATGAGGAGGAAAAGAAGAAGAAACAGCGACGCAGAAGAAAGAGAAGAGAATGAGGAGGAGGAAAAGAAGAAGTTAATGATGATGATAAGATGGAGTAGGAAGATACAGAAAATAGACAAATGCATACAAATAGCATCACACACTTACACACGCCAGGTCCATTCTAGCTAGGTACCTCGCACAGAAACCCGCTCCTTTAATTTTCTACTCAGGATAATGTAATTTAGCTTTTTTTTTTATCAGGTGCATTGGAGTGCTCGCGTTTTTTTTTCCTACCACCTAATTTTCAATTATTTCCACTTTTTTTCCAACAGAATATAAAGGGGTAATGAGAGAGAGAAAGTGGCAGTGAGGCTGTGTTAGAGAGAGGTAGAGTGGAGAGCTATAGATAGATATATAGACAGAGAAATAGAGAAGGAAATATAAATTTGCATTTTTGTTCTCTTACATTATTCATCAGCATGCCTCAGGTAAATGCACTTGCTCTCACACTCTAACGACGCTGGCGGGACAATTTTTTTTTTTAACGTGGATCGTAACAAGGTCTGCGAACCAGCTGAATAATTTTCTGACCTGTCATTTTGACTCCTTTTACCGATGTTATGAAACAGCACACTTTGAGTCACTCATTCAGATGATGTATTTACTTTGAAGGTTAGATGCAATGAGCTCTCTCTCTCTCTCTCTCTCTCTCTCTCTCTCTCCCTCCCCCTTCCCACCCTCTCTTTCTCTCGCTTGTTTTTCTGCCTTGCTCATGTCTATATTTGAAAATTTGCGTTTACTATGCATACTTTAGTATTTTTATTGTTCATTTATAATAAGAATTTTGATATATGAACACAATATGCTTGATAAATAAAATACATTTGCCGAGGGAGAGATGAGTGGGTGAACGGGACGAACTTGGTAAAACGGGCCAGCGTGCCCAATATATGAAACTTTGGAAAACAGTTCTCTCCATCTCTATCTATCTATCTCTCTCTCTACTCTCTCTCTCTCTACCTCTCTCTCCCTCCCTAACTCTATCACTCTCTCTATCTCTCTCTCCCTCCCTATCTCTATCTCTCTCTCCCTCACTATCTCTATCTCTCTCTCTATCACTCTCTCTACACTCTCTCTCTCTATGGTTGTATATGTTTTCGGACTGCTGTTCGTCCATCTATTAATGTTTTCATCTAACTTGTATCGCTGCCTTCCCCTTCCTTCATGGCTTTCACGATTTCGCTCCCGGATGATTGGTGACAAATTGTTGTCTTTTAACGAGTTATTTTTTTTTTCCTTGTAGAAACTCTCTTTTCATTCTCAGTTTCTCCAGAACCACTCAATAATTGTTTTTATATGTTTTTATTTTCATGAGCTACGAACTTTTCTTGTTTATATATATATGTATATATATATATATATATATATATATATATATATATATATATATATATATATATATATATATATATATATATTCGTTTATTAAGTGCCCTGCATCATAGACTAGTGGTGAGTTTAGCGCCCGACTAACGACGGAAAAGGTTCAATTATATGTAATCTTTGAATATTTGTTTTTATTTATTGTCCTTATCATTTTATGTTGAAATATATAATGAGCATGCAACAACAATTTTTATAAAGCTAAAATAGAATGACAAACTGTTCACTCAAAGGATTTAGAAAAGCATTCATTTTTTGTATTATCGTAATGTAAGTTGCTCCAACCCTCTTTGGAATATACTTTTCACTTCTTTTGACATATGCCTTTCGGGATCAGGAGGGTGGTATATTCATTCATTTTCGATCTGACTGCAGCCTTTACAATGCTCGTAGGCTGAAGGCCACAACCAGGATACGAAAGGTACTTATCAGAGAGCTGCTGTTTGCAGATGATGCCGCAATAACCACCCACTCGGAGGAGGAGCTGCAATGTTTACTATCTGCCTTTGCTGATGCGTGCTGTGAATTTGGACTAACAGTCAGCAAAAAGAAAACAAAGGTTATGGTGCAAGGTGTTAATGACAGACCTACAGTCTACATTGACGGTGAAGAGCTTAAGACAGTAGACCATTTTACCTATCTGGGTTCCACAGTGAATAGTAAACTATCGCCGGACCAAGAAATCAACATCAGGATAGGTAAGGCAGCAACAACAATGAGCAGATTGACAAATAGAGTTTGGGAGAACAGAAAGCTCACAATTAAAACAAAAACCCTTGTCTATCAGTCTTGTGTTCTCAGCACTCTGCTTTATGGCAGTGAAACTTGGTCAACCTATTTGCACCAGGAGAGACGGCTTAATAGCTTTCACATGCGATGCCTAAGAAGAATACTTGGCATTAAGAAGCAGGACAAAATCACAAACACTGAGTTACTGGAAAAAGCAGGTGCTACAACAGTCTTTTCCATGCTCAGTCTACGAAGGCTCAGGTGGCTAGGTCACACCTGGAGAATGGAGGATGGCAGAGTCCCTAAGACATTCTTAATGGTGAATTAAAGACAGGAAGAAGATGTCGAAGCCGACCTCTACTACGATATAAAGATGTGTGCAAGCGGGACATGAATGATACAGGTATCGAGGCGGACTCATGGGAACAAAATGTTGTGGATCCATTTTTCCACGGCCATTCTCTTGCTCTTGTAGCTAATCTACAGAGATGTAGTGCTTGTGATGGCATTTGATCTTGCGGCATTCTAACAAGATGGCCAAACCCCTTAATCTGCTATTCTTGATGAATCTAGTACAAGGTGTCGTTGCCACAATTTGCCTGATAGTTTCATTATTCACTCTATCTCGGATGGTTAGGTTGGCTGCTTTTCTCAGGCACCTCATTTCGCAGGTGGTGATTTTGCGTATATGGACTTTAGATAGTGTTCATGTTTGGCACTGGTAGCCTAATGTTGGAATGAATATGCTATTAATAATCTGTCTCTTTGCACTCATAGTTATGCTTGGATGTCTTAATAATGGTGACAATTGGC